AAGTATATTAAGTAGAGAAGATCGTCATATTTTAATGAAATGACGGGCTGGTGGCAGATTCTTTGCTTATTTATTTGGATATTTAACATATTCTCAAAAATTACTTTTTTAAAAAGTATAAAAAAGTTAATCATGTGTAAGTATTAAATTGTAAAAAATTTTATGTTATTGTAAAAAACTGTTTTATGCACAAGACATAGTATTATTTAAACTACAAAAATGTTACATTAAACAAAGTTAATGTGCAAAATAGTTATTTCTTAATTGTCTACAAAAATTAGTGATATCCTAAAAAAATTACCTTTTCAAAAAACGGTAAAAAAAAGAAGTCGAGTCATCTCAGTAGTAAAACATTATTGTATAGAACTATTTCACAAAATATTATTTTAATAAAAAATTGCTGTATTAAAAAAAATTGTGTAAAATAGTTGTCATAACTATCTACAAAAAGTAATGATATATTTAAATAGAAAATTACGTCGAGAATAAAAGAGTGCGATTTTATTTTATGTTTATCAACAGTGTGTGTGTGTCTGTCTCTCTCTCTCTCTCTCTCTCTGTCTCTCTCTCTCTCTCTCTCTCTCTCTCTCTCTCTCTCTCTCTCCCTCTCTCTGTGTGTGTGTGTGTGTGTGTGTATATGTGTGTGTGTGTGTGTGTGTGTATGTGTTAGATGTGATTGACTGCTGATAAATAATTAGGTGAAGAAAAATTATGTTTATATTATCGTCGAAAATTATTACATCTTTGTCGTAAAAGTCAGAATCCCGATTTCTTCAACGATGAACAGTTGATTCATGTAGCTCGTAATTTAAAAAATTTTAATTATTAAAAAACTGCACGCTGCCAAATTTATTTGTATATTATTCAGCAGCGTCGAGTTTTTTAATAATTAAAATTTTTTAAATTACGAGATACATGAATCAACTGTTCATCGTTGAAGAAATTGGGATTCTGACTTTTACGACAAAGATGTAATAACTTTCGACGAAAATATAAACATAATTTTTCTTCATCTAATTATTTATCAGCAGTCAATCACATCTAACACACACACACACACACACACACACACACACACACACACACACACACACACACACACACACACACACACACACACACACACACACACTGTCGATAAACGTAAAACAAAATTGCACTAACATTCTGAAACTTATCAGAAAGGAGGACAAGATATCGATGGCGAATTTAGCCGATCCAAATCGATATATCTAACCAACAATAGCCAGATAACTCTTACAAAAATTCGAAACCTTAGAATTTTTTTTAAATAAAACTGGGGACAAATAGACACCTGAACAAATTTTATTAATCTAAAACGTTATCGAGGAAGAAGATACGGAAAAATAAATCGAATCGAATTTTAAAAGCCGTTGACTTTTAATGGAATCCTCCTTCTTCTTCTCCTCTTCTACACACACACACACACACGCGCGCGCGCGCGCGCGCACGCACGCGCGCACAATTAAAATTTTGCTGTTTCTATCGCGTTAAAATTATAATCCATTTTCTTTATTTTTATTTATCTGTCTAACATATTTGAATAAAAATAATATATTAAAAACAAAATTCAATCAGAACATTTGTGTATTGACGTTTATATAATATAAATAATTAAAATGTAAAAGTAAAGGCTCCAAATTAATAATTTATAACAGAAAAATTAATAATAAAAAAGGACCAATTGGAGCCTGTACGCAGTAAACGGTGCGTAATGTTAAATTGTATTTATTATCGAGTTATGTGTAATTAACCTGACCAAATGTTTCGATCCTTTTGTAGATTCTTTCACTGGTACAATATAAGAAAGAAAATAAATAAATCGTTACAGCTTAAATTATCAAGCGATACATGACCATGTATCCAAAGAAACAACGCACGATAAAAATGATATATTATGAGAAATTGATGTAATAATATTAATGTAATATAATTTAGAAAAATAATGTCATAAAATTATTAATTAATGTGTGAAAATTTTATTATAATTATATTTTCTGCAACTATACAGTTGTAGCAAAACATACAATATATCTTATCGACATTTTTTAAATATTTACTTGTCCTATAATAGAAATATTTCTAAAAAGTTATATTATAAGAAAATAGTATTGTTACCTGTGCGGTTATTTAATAATAATATAAAGACAATTATAATAATAATATAATAATTTAAAAATAATATAAAAGTATATAATAATATAATAATAATATAAAAAATAATATAAAAATATAAATTTAAAATAATATAAAAACAATATGCCTTGATAGAAAATATAGTTTAATTAATAGTTTAACTAATCATTTGAATCTTTTATAAACTAAATATAAATTTAGTTTATAAAAGATTCAAATAATTAGTTTTATACAAAAAAAGCAGACTTAATCAATAAAGATACTTCAATATTCATTTCAATATTCATTTCTTTTGCACAACAATTTTTTGAACAACTTTTTTATAAACAGATATCTTATTTTACGGATTTTTTCATGAATTGATATTTTATTCTCACATTGATTTTAACGTCAATCATTATTACACAATGTAATCGACTCATTAAGTTAATGATATATGTAAATGCAAAATTTATGGTAATTATTTAGTTTAGGAGAGGTACCTCGAATAATTTTAACTTTGACATTTATTCGTTTGTAACATGTTTTTAGTTTTATACACAAAAAAGCAGTCTTATGCAATAAAGATATACATCAATATTTATTTTAATATTCATTTCTATTGCACAACAATTTTTTTTGAACAACTTTTTTATAAACAGATATCTTATTTTTCGGATTTTTTCATGAAAGGATATCTTAATCTTACATTGCTTTTAATATCAATCAATTATTACACAACGTAATCGATTTCTTAGATTAATGATATATGTAAATGCAAAATTTATGGTAATTATTTAGCTTAAGAGAGCCACCTCGGATTATTTTAAATTTGACATATATTGTCAAGGTGATGACCTTTGAGTAATATTCAAAAGGTTTTAGTCGGCACACGTCGTATATTTAAAAGTTATAAACAAAAGAAGTATTATAAATAGAACATATTTTTCTTGATACTATGTATATATATTATTATATATATACTGCGCGACGACGATTCATTCCGCGGCTCCCCTCTCGCGAAGCAAGGGAAGCGTAGAAGTGACCAATCAGCTGGCAGCGTGGCAGTGGCTGATTGGTTAAAGGCTACGCTCCCCTTGCCCCGCGAGAGGGACCAAGGAACGAATCGTTGTCGCGCAGTGTACATATAGTATGGGTTTATAACTTTCTATGCAAAGCGAGGTATACCCCATATCACGGACATATATTAGGTTGGGTTTTATCTTCCGAAAGTGGAGCCCTCCGCAGGGGCAGAACATACTGTATCTACACAAGTACTTTCTCAGATAGAAGAGTATATACATGTAAGATTCTAAGATTCTAAGAAAATTATGTCGATTAAAAATAAATACATTTATATAACTTTATTTGTTTGTACCATGTTTTTAGTTCTAATATATTCAAAATATTTAGTTTATAAAAGATTCAAATGATTAGTTTTATACACAAAAAAGCAGACTTAAGCAACAAAGATATATTTCAATATTCATTTCTTTTGCACAAAAATTCTTTGAACAACATTTTCATAAACAGATATCTTATTTTACGGATTTGTTCATGAATTGATTTCAGAATAGGAAGGGCTTCAGTTGTCTACATTACCATTTGCCAACTGCTTGTGTATAATAATATTATGTGTGCAATATGTATGTGCTCAATAATATCATATGTGCAATCTGCATGTATGCAATAATTTCATGTGTGCAATCGTGCATGCAAGCAACAATGTATTATGTGCAATAGTACTTTCGTATTTTCATGTTTTCGGTGTGTGCAATAATACTTGTAGATAATCGGGATATAAGCAATCGGGATATAGGCAAAAGAAACTGTGCAGTTAGGCAAAGTACTGTGCGCAAATGAAGTTGGCAATCGGGAATGTAGACAAACGGGATCCCCACTTATTAAAAATAATATCTGATTATTAATACGTTCTTCATCTGAAAAACGGTTATAAATATAAGCCTCACATATCTCTTATTAGTTTGCGCAGAATTATTGCACTGAATTATATGTTTCCATAACAAAATTTGTGATTTCATTTTAATAATTTGAGTGGTGTTGCGATCGTCGCATCATATAATCTATCAGGTAATCTTCATAATATTTGTACAAAATAAAATTTTATAACATTCTTTTGCAAAATTTCAGTGTTTAATACTGATTAATTGGCGTAAACATGGTGGTTTTAACAGAAATTATTTCAAATACCATGAGTCCTTAGTTTTGTCTCATATTGCTAAAATTTTATTAATTAATATTATATATTAATTATTAATAATATTATAATATCAATATATAATAATATTTAAACAGAAAAAGTTTTCAAAATTTTTTTTGTTTATGACAGAGCTTGCAAATACTTTAAATACTTTATAACTTTGGTTTATTACAACTTTGTATCATTGCATACCAATAAAAATATTTTCATTGATTTAAGATATTTATAAATAATTACAGAAATGAGTTGTAATCGGATATTATGATATGATCTTAAGGACATTTTTTACAGTAATAGAATAAATAAAATTATAAAAATATCAGAAACAATTTATGTTAAAGATTTGACATATAATAGATATGATGTTAACACTCGCCTTAATATTATAATACTATTAAATACAGTTAAGATGTTGCAGTAGAATCTGGCGAAATTTTATATTATACAATAGAGAAACAATTGCAAGAAATTGGCAGATTAAACATTTTTTTATTTGATTAACAAATTTAGTGCATATGTAATATTTTTCCCTGGAATGAAATTTAACATATCTTTTATATCTTGATTAAATTATTAACTACAAAAAATATGCGATTAATGTATTACAACGATCTTTTATTTTCTCCCTCTCTCACTTTCAGCATTAATATTCTTTAGAATATCAAGATAGTTGCCAAATTTGTCGAAAATCAAATATCTACTTTTATATGTATCAAAAAATATTTATGTAATACATATGATCCAAGAATAAAAAAAAAACAATAAATAGACGAAGGTTCAGATTACTTAGACGGTCAAGAATATCAGATTAAGAAACGATGTATACTATATCGATATTATGTATGTTTATTTTATTGATATATTATTTGTATAATAAGTATTACATAAATTATAAAAGAAACTGGCAACTCATTAAACTCATACCGGGACCACCGGGTTTACCAATTGTTGGCAACGTGTTTCAATGGCTTACTTCAGAAAGTAAATACAAAATTTTTAATCTATTTATCTATCTATTTATATTAATTAAATAAATGATCCGTTATTTATACAAATTAGATTTATAAATCATGTACTTTGAAACATATACTTATCAAGAATACATACAGATCTTATCTGAGCACTTTTTTTCACAATAATTACTTGTTTAATTAAAAAATACAATTTTTTTTATTAATATGTTTCCAACGAATTTGAGTAAAAATGCACTAATGTTGAAATTAAAATTAATTCCATCGAAATTTTTGTACATTAATATTTATAATATAATTTTCAGAAGAAAAATGGAAGCTCCTCTGTACATTATCTAATGAATATTATCCTATCTATAAATTTTTGCTGTTTTCCACTTTTGTGGTGTCTATTCGTCATCCAGATGATTTAGAGGTAATAAAAGAAATTCAATTTTCCATAGACATTACGAATTAACAAGCTTTTGAAAACATGCGATTCATAAGAACACTTTTATTCAGAAAAATATGTTTCTTAAAAAGATAATAAGAAAAAATATTCTTAATCAATAAGACTAGATATAAATTTAAGATACAATCATTATTTATGTATTTAATTCAATGAGATATAAGGAACAGTTTCTCTTTTTTAATATGTTTTGCGTTACTTTAGACGATATTAAGTAGCACAAAACATATCGAAAAAGGTTTTTTCTATGACCCATTGCATCCTTGGCTCGGCACAGGACTTCTCACCAGCAAAGGTAAGCAGTTAAAAGATTACAAAATAATATCGTGCGATATAAAAAAAATAAATGTAGAGAAATAATATTATTTACTGTCTTTCTGACAGTAATATTACATAATATTATTTGTATTTTGATGTAGTATCTTGTTTTTGTTATAGGATTTAAATGGCAAACGCGGCGAAAAATATTAACACCTACATTTCATTTTAATATATTGAACCAATTTGCTGATATCTTAATCAAAGAGGGAGATTGCATGACTAAATTTTTGATGGATGTTGGAGGGACAGTAGTAAAGGATTTATTGCCATTTATTAGTGAACATACGCTAAACGCGATATGCGGTAAGGCTATTGTAAAATTCTCATTGTACGTTATGACCAAGAATTTCATTTTGCACGAGATCGATTTTTAAGATTATAAGATAATAAAAAAGATAACTTCTTCCTATACATACATCGATCGTATCGATAGATGGGCAGATAAGTAATATCTGTTTTATTATACTTAAAACTATCTATTAAATATTCAGCTGTAATAATCTTTGACTGACTTTATTTATATCTTATAAAATAAATGTGTTTGTAGAAACCGCCATGGGTGTCTCTTTACGAACTCTCGGCGAATTCCAGCAACAATATCGAAATGCAATTCACGACATGATCGAATTGGTATTTTATAGGTAATTTATATGGCTGCAGTAAATATACATAATTATGTAATATATTTATGATCTTTCAAGATATGATTTTGATACATATACAAAGTAAAAAATAAAATTTTAATTATAATAACATTTTTCACATGTCCACTCTAAATTTTAGGTTAAAATATCTCATTCGTCATATGTTACTTATTGACAAATTAAAAATGTTAAATAATTGACACAATGCTTTTCATTTATTTTTGTTATTGTGACTTTAAGTGTAATGTAAAAATGACATACAAATTAATTAAAAATTACATGAAAAAATAGTTACAATAACTCGTAATAATTGTTGTAGGACATTAACATATGGTAATAATTATTTTAACTCTCATAAATATGTTACATATTAATTATAAGAAGATAAACAATTAATAAGGATATCAATTCGTTTAAATGGGCAAACTGCAGTGTGAAAATGTATTGTTCATTGCTAAATATTTCATTATAAAATAAACATTATTTTGAAATGTTAAAAAAATGAGAAATATTAAGACATGTTGTAAAATTAAGAAAAGAATGAAATGTAAAATAAAATCTAAAGAGAAATTATTTTTAATCTGAAAATTATAACTGAAACAAAAGTACAATGTTTCAAAAAGTTCCTATCTTTTTCGTCACAAATATAATTTAAAATTTTTAATCTCTTGTACATGAATATATAAAGATTATTTTGACATGTTAGGATAGGTTTAAATAACATTTTTAAAATAAAGCTTTTATAAAATTACATTATTATTGTAATTATATAGCTTTATTGAATTACTGTTAAGATCATTCAAGCCTTGGTTTCGCAACGATATGATCTTCTCTTTGTCATCACAAGGAAGAAAGCAAAAGAAAATTTTAAAAATATTGCATGGATTTACGGAAAAAGTAGGTAATATAAAAAACATTAATTTAAATTCTTCAAATATTTATATTTAAAATTACTCTATTAATACATTATTAATATAAAAAAATCACTGTAAAAGTTTATACTCATGTACATAGATTATTGCGGAAAGAAAACTTTATCACGAACGTACCAATGATCAATACTTAGAAAACCTTGAAAGTCTTAAAGAAGCGGCGACAAATGATGTTGAGGTGTTTGGAAGTACGTACGATTAAAGTTTCTAATTTAAATTTGATTGCGCAATCTAATATTATAAATTATACTTATACGTATAGTAATTATACTTATAGTATTTATACTAAACATAATCACAACATATTTGCTGTAAAATTAAATTATTATTATTTGTAACAGAATTTGAATTTTTATCAAAAAACGTTTAAAAATTAAAACGCAACACGCAAAAATGAATTTGTTTCTAATATGCTTTATTTTAGTTAAAAAAAAGCGGTTAGCTATGTTGGACCTTTTATTAGCGGCATCTCAAGAATATTCTTTAACTGATTTGGACATTAGAGAGGAAGTTGATACCTTTATGTTGGCAGTACGTATCTGTAATCTTTTTTTATTAATCTTTTTTTGTACACATTATCTAATCACTTATAATATATGATGATATGATGATGATTACAGGGTCATGATTCCATAGCGATAGGTATAATGTTTACTTTATTACTATTAGCTGAACATAAGGATATTCAGGTATCTATTTCTAAATATATTGCAATATATTATTTAAATTACAATTTTTAAATGTCAAGTTCTTTTTTGTTACAATATATTTTTTCAATATTAGTAAATATGTATATCACTTTATTTTTTATTTTGATTTTTAAGAATTTATTTACATCTATGTAAATAAAAAGTAGAATATTAAGAAATATATTTAAATTATTATGGATAACATAGGAGCGTGTGAGGCTTGAAGTCGATGATGTGATGCTAGAGAATGGAGGGAAACTCAACATGAGATCACTGCAAAATTTATCATATTTAGATAGATGTTTAAAGGAAGTGTTACGTTTGTATCCCAGCGTGGGTATAATATCACGATGCACTGGAGATGATGTAAAATTACGTAATTATTCACTTTTTTTCTATATAGTATATCTTTGAATATGTTACATAGCACAGAATATATTACGGAATGTAAAATAATATTAATGTATTAATATTTTAAGAATACATTATGTACATTTCGTTTTTTTTCAAAATATCATTTTTTGTAAATTTTAATATTTTTTAATTTTATAACATGCTTTCCAGAATCATATGTCGTACCCGCTGAAACGATCTTATTGCTTAATATCAACGCAGTTCACAGAGATCCCAATTTTTGGCCAAATCCAGAAGTATTTGATCCGGATAGATTTTTGCCTGAGAAAATAAAGAATCGTCATCCTTATTCTTATCTACCTTTCAGTGCAGGGTCAAGGAATTGCATAGGTAAATTGCCTGCAATTTTTGTTTCTCCTTATGTCGATCATTTTTAATAAGTTTGACACTGAATAGGTCAACGATATGGTCTCTTGGAGATGAAATCTATCATAGCTCCTTTGGTGCATAATTTTTATTTGGAACCCGTTGATTATTTGAAAGATATTCAATTAAAATTGGATTTAGTTATTCGTCCTTCTCATCCAGTTCATGTGAAATTCATCCCAATCACATGCAAACAAAAATTGTTTAAAACTAACGCGGATGCTACGTAAGTGTAATAAATTGAGTATACAGCATTGCATCACAAAAATTGAAGAAAATAATTAAGGATATTATATGTTCTGTATTTTATGATTAAAATATTATATATATATATATATATATATATATATGTGTGTGTGTGTATATATATATAGACATTATATTTAATCGTCAAAATATCCACACAGAATTTCTTATAAGTTAGATCCTTGTAAACCCATTCAAATGAGCAATAAAATTTATTTGTATTAAGACAATATATATGTATGAATTTTATGATAAAAAATGATAAATAAAACAAAAGTCTAATATAAAAGGTACATTTTTTAAATAATTTATATTAATTTTGTATATATATATATATATATATATATATATATATATATATATATATTGTTACGTCCAGACCCTGAAAGTATAGGTTGTATGGAAGAACGTAACTTACTTACCGTGACACACTTTATTCGGGCGTGTGTGTGGATCGGGTCGAACGAATGTGAAGGGTCTGACACAGGTCAGCGACCGAAGGTCTCTTTAACTCTGAGTTTTACGCCTATTCGTTCGGTGGTCTCTTTTGAATAAAGGAATTTAATCCTTGTTACGCGGGATAGGACCTAGTGCTATCTCAGGATTTAGGGAAGAGAACGGGTTAAATAATTATATTCTACATTAAATAAAAAAAAATATATTATATAAAGAAAATATAAGGAAAGAAAAATACATCTTAGGAGTTGTAGTTATGCATGAGTGAGTATGTGTGTGTGTGTGTGTGTGTATTTATATATTCTCGCGTATGTGTTATATTCTCGCGTATGTGTTATAGTTAGAATTAAAATTTTCTAAATTTCGCTGAAACACAGGTCCAAATTAAAATACAATAATAAAATTTTAAATAAGAGATTTGCCAAGTCTAAGTCAAAAATTATTAGTTATTTCAAATATTATTTATCTATTTTAACGGTTTCTCCCAAAAGTAGTGATAATACAAAGAAAGTAGTAGAGAGAGAGAAAAGAAAAAGAGAAAAAATTAAAGGAAACTAGGGATGGATTATTCTTCGGAATCTTCGGAGAGCAGAAGAGTATTCGCGAATTCCAATGCTGAAATCCAGGACAAATAAATAAGGAAATATTCGTGAATTCCAATGCTGAAATTCTGAACGAATGGATAAAGATCTTAGGAGATTTATTAGCGAATTCCAATGCTGAAATCCAGAGCGAATAAATAAAGGAAGTATTCGTGAATTCCAATGCTGAAATCCTGAACGAATGGATAAAGATCTTAGGAGATTTGTTCGCGAATTCCAATGCTGAAATCCAAAGCGAATAAATAGAGGAAGTATTCGTAAATTCCAATGCTGAAATCTTGAACGAATGGATAAAGATCTTAGGAGATTTATTCGCGAATCGCCTTTCGGAGATTCTAGGCGAATTAGGAAGAACAAGGAATGAAGCTGGAGGAGAAGTGAGACAAGGATTAATTGATTGATTGATAGTAATTAGTAAAGATTTAATGATTATTAAACTGTTTAAAATTATTTGTCAGACATAAATTTTAAATTATGAGATAGTAAGATATGGGAAAGGGAGAAAATAAAAATTACTTAAATTTATTCACAACTCGTTAGGATCACAAAAATAAATGCGTTGATAAAATTGCAATGGTTGAAGTCGGAGGTTTATAACATGAAGAGCCGAGTAATGGAGATGTTCATCAGAAATTTCACATAATACACAATTAAATGTTAACAAAATCATTTTCACTGTATATAAAACAAATTAATAATTTAACTGCATAATGCAAGAAAAGGGATTCCCGAGGCTATATAATTTTAAAATTGAATGACTGAAACTTGACTGGAACTGTAAACTGAACTGTCGACTGTGCTGCTTATAGTGCTAGTTAGTGCTTATTAGTGAATGCTTAGTGAACATTTAGTGAACTAGATAATAAGTGAACTAAAGATCTAACGAACTAATGAACGCTTAGTGAACTAGATAGCAAGTGAGCTCTCGCGCCTTGCGCTTGCATTTTTTAAAGTAGTTCCTTCTCCTCCTTACTGGATGGTGGGAATTTTTTGTAATAATTTCAATACTCCCTTCTTAAGGACAAGGAGGCTGATTTTTGGGAGGAGAGGCGTTTCTTAAGATTTTTATTGTTTAAGCCCTTTCGCTGGAGATTTAGTTCCATCCAGTTGAGAGTGGGAGCGAACTGATTATCTTATCGCTTAATGCTTTGACGATTGAGGATGGCCTGTCGAACGAGCGCACGTGCAGTATTAATTTCAGAGGATTTGTTTTATGTTTACCTATGGTCAATTTCTCGAAGACCACAGGCTCTTTGTTTAACATCTCTAAGATGAAGCAAGTTATAGCCATAGATACGGGTGGTTCGAATTTCTTATACTTCCGAGTCTCATAATTCAAAAGTTTATTTAAAGTTTCTTTAGCGCTATCTCAACTGGCCATTCTCAATATTAGGTTTAAATGATTATACAGGGTGGGGAAAAAGTATGGAAGCAAACAATTATTTCCGAAACTATTCATTTTTCGACAAAATGTCTTAGACATAATTTTTATGGTATGAAAAGATGTATTATGTGGCATAGACGGCATGACCTTGAAATGACCCTTACGAGCTGCATACAAATAACGTAAAAAATTTCAAATGGAACTCGTCAGTTTTTGTTACAGATTCTTGTAGCTGATGTCGAAACGTTTACAAAACACTGCATATGAGCCCCATTCCCTTAAAAACACTCCCAGTTACGAAACAATTGTGATACAAACAATTTGTATGCACATTGACATTGCTTACTGATTTCGCATCATGACGTTCAGTTGCGTCCACTAATAACATGTAATTGTATCTGTTGTCATATGATACACTGTCTATGAATATTCATAGAATTTTTTTGATTTCTTGATCATCGCTACCTTATTTATTATTATCATTTATTTTATCCTTAAAAAAGTAGTGTCAATTGGCATACAAGTTTCGGATATTGTATTTTGAAAATTTGCTATTTTTGTCGTTTTCTATCATAGGAATTGTTACTGATTTTCATTTCTGTAATTTCAAATGTTATTTTCACGATGGCCCGATTAACAGAACGAGAGCGAATATCGCTGTTGATGATGCGTGGTTGGGGTGAGAATGAAAGAACTCACGATGAAGTTACAGTTTTGTTTAATGAAACTTTTCGAATCGGACAACCGGGCATAGTAAGATCTATCGTTGCTAAGACAATTCAACGATTTAATGAAACAGGTTCCGTAAAGGATAAGCCAAAAGTAGGAAATACGAATTATCACAATTGTTTCGTAACTGGGAGTGTTTTTAAGGGAATGGGACTCATATGCATGTTTTGTAAACGTTTCGACATCAGCTACAAGAATCTGTAACAAAAACTGACGAGTTCCATTTGAAATTTTTTACTTTATTTGTATGCAGCTCGTAAGGGTCATTTCAAGGTCATGCCGTCTATGCCACATAATACATCTTTTCATACCATAAAAATGATGTCTAAGACATTTTGTCGAAAAATGAATAGTTTCGGAAATAATTGTTTGCTTCCATACTTTTTCCCCACCCTGTATATCGCGGGTTAGGTTCCGTTTTTCTATGCGCTATCATTATTCGAACAAGGATTGCTTTGTGCTTCAAATGCAAACCGATCCTTGATTTTTCTTTCACGGTATCATTTCGAAGAAAGAAAAGAATCGTGGAGTCCACCAGACGTAACAATATACATACTCCTGGACAAAATTAACGTATAATTTTTTTCACTTGTTCTATAAAATTTTTCGTTAAAATTTAAATATCAGCTTTTAAAAAAAAGTGAAAAAAATTATGCGTTAATTTTGTCTAGGAGTATATATATTAGCAAAACATTCTTTTGCACAAAATGTTTTGTGAAATGAATTTGATACTTTGATTTATATTCGTTTTGTTTTCAATATTAATCTTTTATACTAATACTCAGTCTGTCATCTCTAATCACAGGGTCGGTTTTGATCATGTTTTTAATTGGGAGGATGTACAGATTTTAGATCGGGAACCATTTTTGAGTAAGAGATTAATTTCTGAAATGTTATAAAGGCAAAACATATGGTTTAAATTTGCAAACAGACACTTAACGTTTACCAGAAATTTATTTAAATATAATAAACAACTTGTCAAAGATGTAACTTAGTTTTCTATCATAACAAATAGGTCTGCGACTTTCCTTATGTGTACATTTTTATATATCCTTTGATTCACTTTACCGTTTATAAATTAGTCACATCTATCTGTTAAAGATTAGTCGTTCTTTGTCTTTAGAGATATTAACTTGTTTCCATTTGTCTCCTCGACTCGCCATTATCTTCGATGCCTGGAAGTATATTTCAATTTCATGGTTTTAACTTTTGATTTCTTTAATTTTTATTATTTTTTACTCTATGTTCAGTTTATATTTATTTAAAAATTTTTTGAAAATGGACATTTAACTCTACATCTTTTTAATCTTTTTACGTTAAATTTTAATATTTTTCCATTATATATTAATTTACATTATCCATTTATCTTGTTTCACCTATATTTTACATAGGCATCGTCGAGATACCGAGACATTTAGTATTACTTTGGACGGCATCCTATCTCATCGATTCAGATATGTAACACCTTTATTATAATTATACCACATTATCATATGTGCGCTAAAGATGACCCAAAAATAGGATCGAAACGTTCGCTATTCCTTCCTTTAATTTTAATTTTATTTTTATTTGTTTCATGCTTTTTTTGTATAATAAATAAATAAATATGTCATAACATCGACGCTCGACTCGTATTGCTATTGAAACTAATTTGTTAATTTTATATTTCGAGTTCTTATACCTTTATTATTTTTAATCTTTTTTAATGGCACAAATTAATTAATTTATTAAATTAATGTAAAAATCTCCTAAGGATTTTTCAATATTCTCACGTTCTTTATTCAAAACTGTTTATCGTGTTGTCCCTGACTATCGAAAGTACATTCTGCCCTCGTCGTTTATGTTCACAATATACA